GACGTGGCGGTGAAAACGTAAAAGACGGCCATGGATGGCTGATGGTGCATGACAAATTCGTTAAACTAAAGTAAATGTTTACGGCCATTAGCGCGACGCCACGACGCTCGAAAACATCCCCAACTGGGAGTGTTTTGCTTCGCCTGCTCCGCAGAAGCTTGGATTTTTATATTAAACCGTCTTAGCGTTTCTCAAACAGATTTAAATGGAAATTTATCTTTGATTATACAATTCCACAAACAACTTATAATATAATACTCGTAAATTTTTTTATTATTATTAAATTAAGGATTAAAATAAATGTAGATAAATTAAAAGACATAATTTTTTTTTTTTGGGCTGAAAATTTGGTATGATGAGTTAATATATTGTTTTTTTTGTGTGGCGGGGGTGGAATTACTGGGGAATGACCGAAACGCTCGTCAACTCTTACGCATTACGACAAACACGTCACACACCAAACGAGGGGTACACAAAAAAGTAATTAAGGTTTTGTGGGCGTGTGGAGGTGAGAAATGTCAAAAAAGCATCATTAGGGTAACAATGTGGCAACAGCTCTAGTTTATCCATCATGACATTAAGAGCGGGGTTTCAAACGACGCTAGCGACACTCGAAAAACGTTATTCTGTTTTGCATTCATGAATTATTACAATTTTTTTAAAGCTATTAAAACACTAATGGAAAGAATTAATTTCTCAAAGATTTAGACAGTATTATTTATGATAATACTTAACTATGCGTCAAAATGATAAGAATTTAAAGTTTAAACTATAAACTTTATCTTGCTATTTTATAATCTTACTTATTTTGAATTATCTAACTGATACTATAAAATTGACATTTCCAGTGCGTAATCTTGTTGCCCTTATCGAATTATGAAAATTGCTGATATTTCAATTAATCTATAACCTTTATAAAATTTCATTGTTTGATTTTTGTTCTTTATTTCTGCCTAAACCATTCACCCGAATGCAATGAACTTTGCGGACATCAAAGTAGGCATCCCAGGGATTATTTTAATGTGGTTGCCGCCCCCATGGTCGCCTCCACTATTGTTTAATTCACATGTAAATAAGTATAATATGCAACCTACGCTAGCACGGCTGCGGATGACGTTACGACCACGATAGACATTGTATAACATTTTCAAAGCGAGAAAACCTCATTTACAAATTAATATTATATAATAATCAATTGTTTAATTGTAATCCCTACTAATATTATAAATGCGAAAGTCCTGATGTTTGTTACACTTTCACGCAAAAACTACTTAACCGATCATCATAAAAATTCGTACACATATTCTTAATGGTCCCCGAATGGCTATAGGCTTCTTTTTATTTAATAAAACAAATTATTTTTTATATAAAATAAAGAAATAGTTTAGCCAATAATACCTCTGCATCTGGCTATTTGACTACTTTAACGCCATCTAGCATTCCAGCAATGAAGCTCAAACCTAAGTACTATAGTACCATCACACTGTATTATCACACTGTATTACCGACAGCTACGTCAACATCAAATCCAATTGACTACACTATGCCGACTGTACACTATACTTCCATAGACTATACTTTCAGCCATTTTAAACTTCCCGCCATTCTACTTCATTGTTACTTCTTCTGTGACTACAGACGCGTACGGAAGCAACTTCATTATTTTAGATATTCGCGAGTGAAGCCGCGGGTTAAAGCTAGTTTTATTATATAATCGTTTTGTGAATGGAAGATTTTGTCTGATTTTTTTAATTAAGGATGGAACATGTCACATTCGTGTTTCGAGACACGAAAAGTAGAAATTTAATAACGAACGGCCTAAAGTAGTGAAAAAAAGAAGTGACTAAAGTACTTTACGTAACTAAACGTTGAAAAGTACCGTTTAGCGCACTTGATACTAAATATACTATTAAAAATACACTAAAAAATGTATAATAAATTACATTTTACCACAAAAAAATATTTAGCTTATGAATGAACATTATCAATTCAAAATAAGTACTTTGGTAATACCCATAAGTCCAAGGATTATTACCCACTGTATCTTTATTCCCAGTGAGCTTACATAATGCAAAATATGTAAAAGCAGCATGCGAAGCCTTCATCTGAAGCCGAATGAGCCTGAGCCTTAGTGTAAGCCTGTGCAGGAGCAAAACATGAGGACTTATTAAACGATACATTGTTCGCACGCGGTCGAAAGTCAATTAAGCACCTCGCCCACGCGCGCGCAACTCATCTCATATCATCATATTCTAACATGCGGGTGCTTCTTTAATTAATGATAACATTCACAGCGCGCACGTGGCGGCACACCGTGCCGTTTATTTTGTGCGGTTTCCTTGTAATTTTGCACCACACACTCCACATTCCCAATTCGTAAATTTGCGTAATTAAAACGAACGCTTATTTAATCAGTGTTGGATAATTATAATTCGAGCTTAATTTTGCGTCATGTCAACTTTTGACGCTTCAAACTTTACGGATGGTTTAATTAATTAAATACAGATTTGAAGTGAAAACTTTTTTAGAATCGTTGTGATTTAAAAATTAATGAAACGACACTAAAAAGAAACAAACGTATTTGTTTATATGGTTTAGTTTGAGAGAGAACGGGAAAACACAAATATACAGTGTTTCCTATTATTTTCGACTCCTCTTTGTGCAATACTTCGTAGCTTGCCACAAACCACTTGATTCTGAATATTTCCTGAATAAAAAATTGTGACTAAAAGTGCTAAAAAGTGACATTTTTCACTATTTGTCCATTTTATTCAATCGCGAATATCTCGTAAACTAAAAGAGATAATTAAGTTCTGATCGCAGCGTCTTAATCTACGGACTATTCTCTATCAGATAGGATAGTTAAAACAGAAATCTGAGAGATGAAATTTTCATTCTTAAGAAAAAATTGCCAAGGGGGGGGTGCTTGATACTTTTTTTCAACGATTTTCAAAAATTAATATCTCTTATACTAAAAGAGATAGCAACCAACTAATTGTTGATTCTGATAGAATGGAAAATTCTCTATCAGATAAAAATACAAAACAATTATATTTCCTACAGTACAAGGTCGAAAAACGCGACTAAAAGTGCTAAAAAGTGACATTTTGCAATTTTTGCCCATTTTATTAAATCGCGAATATCTCGTAAACTAATAGAGATAATTAAGTTCTGATCGCAGCGTCTTAATCTACGGACCAATCTCTATCAGATGAGATAGTTAAAAGGGAAATTTAAAAAAAGAAATTTTAAATCATAAGAAAAAATCGCTAAGGGGGGGTGCTTGATACTTTTTTTGACGATTTTGATAATTGATATCTCTTAAAGTAAAAACGATAGGAACCAACGATTTGCAGATTATGAAAGAGTGGAAAATTCTCTGTCAGATAAAAATATAAAATAATTATATTTCCTACAGTAAAAGGTCGAAAAACGCGACTAAAAGTGCTAAAAAGTGACATTTTGCAATTTTTGCCCATTTTATTCAATCGCGAATATCTCGTAAACTAAAAGAGATAAATAAGATCTGATCGCAGCGTCTTAATCTACGGACCAATCTCTATCAGATGAGATAGTTAAACGGGAAATTTAAAAATAGAAATTTTAAATCATAAGAAAAAAATCGCTAAGGGGTGCTTGACACATTTTTTCGACGATTTTCAAAAATTAATATCTCTTAAACTAAAAGAGATAGCTACCAACGAATTGTTGATTCTGATAGAATGGAAAATTCTCTATCAGATAAAAATACAGAACAATTATATTTCCTACAATAAAAGGTCGAAAAACGCAACTAAAAGTGCTAAAAAGTGACATTTTGAAATTTTTGCCCATTTTTTTCAATCGCGAATATCTCGTAAACTAAAAGAGATAAATTAGATCTGATCGCAGCGTGTTAATCTACGGACTATTCTCCATCAGATAGGATAGTTAAAACGGAAATCTGAGAGATGAAATTTTCGTTCTTAAGAAAAAATTGCCAAGGGGGGGTGCTTGATACTTTTTTTCGACGATTTTGAAAAATTAATATATCTTAAACTAAAAGAGATAGCAACCAACTAATTGTTGATTCTGATAGAGTGAAAAATTCTCTATCAGATGAATATATAAAATAATTATATTTCCTACAGTAAATGGTCGAAAAACGCGACTAAAAGTGCTAAAAAGTGACATTTATCAATTTTTGCCCATTTTATTCAATCGTGAATATCTCGTAAACTAAAAGAGATAAATAGGATCTGATCGCAGCGTCTTAATCTACGGACTATTCTCTATCAGATAGGATAGTTAAAAGGGAAATCTAAGAGATGAAATTTTCATTCTTAAGAAAAAATTGCCAAGGGGTGGTGCTTGATACTTTTTTTCGACGATTTTCCAAAATTAATATATCTTAAACTAAAAGAGATAGCAACCAACTAATTGTTGATTATGAAAGATTGGAAAATTTTCTATCAAATAAAAATATAAAATAATTATATTTCCAATATTAAAATAAATAAACCCAATAATTATCCCACTCCTGATACTATTTTGTCTGATTCTCTCGTAGTACAGTGTACTGAAGGTTTCACTTCTACCGCGTGCGAACTGCAGACATGATTTTTATTTAAACAAACAAAAATTTAATTTTTTGATTAGAAATGAGTTAAACGTGCTGATAATGAACAAAAACAAAAAAATAACAACAAAAATGTATAGATATGTTAACTTTTACGATGATTGGCAGCGACTTGGCAAAACATAAAAACTGATTGTGTACTTGCAATATACACACACACACACACACAAACACAAACATCAGTATGGTCTAACGCTGAAAATATGTAAAACAGTCCACCCAACAATCCACGTGAGACACGCCGCGAGTTTGCGACGAAAATAACAATCCGGTAATGAAGTGCACTTTGTGCGCACAGCGCGCGCCGCACACCTAGCCAGCCGACCACCGATTCCTTGCGCGCGCACACCGCCAGGATCCTCAGTACACCTCAGTAGTCGCTGAGCGCGCGGTGACTCAATCCGCCGGCGCAGCCTACCACTACGCATGCGCAACACGCTTTTATCACATTCACCGCGTGTTTCACGCCGCTGGCCCCCGCGCAATTGACACTTTTATCACTTGCGCGATGTGTATTACACTGCATTATTCCAAACGCAAGATACACTGATAACATACAAGCATGCACGCGCGCGCGGAATGTGATAAGTGATATGTCATCAAGTCGGTCAAGATTAAAGGAGCGCAATTAAAGTGTGTAAACGTGTGTGTTGTGTGTTCGTAAACGTGGTGGAATGTCGACGCGGACGGGGTGCGCGCGTGTGGATTTCAGTGTGTTTGTCGGTGCTGTTTGAGAAGATCAAGTGCACGCCGTTTTATTTATGTGTCTGCTGCGCTGCCCGAAAATGCTGGCATCGGCGACCGGATGAAAATAATATGACAACAAACTAAATATAAACAGCGGGGAGACACACGCACACATTCACACATACACCTATACAGAGAGAAGTTGTGTGCATCCTGCCAAATAAGTTTCAAGATCATAATAACGTGCACAATAATGAATTCGTGTGTTATCAGTATTGCGTAGGTCGAACATTTACTATGCATCGATTATGACGCGCTGCGATCGTGAGGAGATGAACACCGCCGAGGAGACGAATGAGAAAAAGTCACCGCGGAATTTCCAGCGTAGTTTCAGCTGTAACTATGGCTCAGCCGAGCAGTTGCCGGATTTGACGCACTTGCTGCGTGATTCGGACAAATGGCGAGATCCAGCGGAAGTGAATTGTTTTCTTAAAAACTGCGAATGTACGCCGCGCAGCGCGAAAACACGAAAAATTAGTTTTGTGCGGTTTGAAGATGAAGTTAATTCAAATTCAACCAATACTTCATCATTAGATACACCTACAAGTGAAGATACATCTCCTTCATCGATAGATGGCGTTGGTGATGTGCAAGATGGCGCTTCCGACGCGCTATACTCCCTCAAAGAAGAAGATTTGGATGAAAATGAAAATGCATACCAAATTAGAGAAACTGTTATACATTTATATGAAAAACGCAATGAAAACAACAACAAACCGGATGTTATTCAACCAAAACCGAAATCGGACGAAGATGAAAAGAATAAACGCAACTTTTTCAAATCGATCTTTTCCCGGTCGTCATCATCACCAAAACTACAAAAATCCACATCTGTTATTGATGTGTCACCGGGAGCCACGCCTTCAACACCAAAACGTCAAAATTCTTTCCTAAAGAAAACACTAGATGGCGCTACTAAACTAAGACGCAGCCTAAGCGTGCGTAAGTTGAGTACTGTCGGTGATAAAGTGCAGAAATCACGCGAGACTCTCACAGATGTGAAAAATCGCGAGTGGGCCGCCAGTTTACAATCACTGGTTGAAACTGACATCGGTGTTTCTTACAATGATTTATCCTTTGTTGATTATGATAGAAACGGTGATAGTTTGAACTATGACAAGTATCTCTCAACATGGTCACGGCACGGGCATGATCTTTTGCCGTTAGATGGCGCTGATGATGTGCTATCTAGTAATAAGTGTATATATCGCACACAGAGCATGATAGTCAATGTAATTTATATTTTAAAATATTTTTTATTAATTTTTTAATTAAAAAATGTTTTATTTTGTTGCAGAAAGGTAACACGCCGCATTTTGTGCGTCATAAATCAGTTTCGAGTATAACAAACTGGAGAAATCAATCAAATGCACGACGCCCTCTGGTGGAGGATAGCGTTGAGCGTGAATTAGGAAAGCTTGGTGCTGTGGATGATGATGTGGATAATCATGCAAAAAGTTTACCGTGTTTAGTGCACAAGCGCAGTAAGAAGGATCGTAAACTAAGGGGGCGGAGTCTACCGTATACGCATGTCTATCAGGATGAGTGTTTTAATATTGAGGAATGGCCGATGGGAGAAAATGAACGCCAAGAGACGTAAGTTTATTATTTTTATTTTTTAAACTTTTGTTTTTAATTTTTATAAATTGGTAATACGGCCCTGGATAAGTAAAATATTATTTTGATCGAGTGCGGCTTTAGATTCCTGATTTCATGTCGAGGGGAACATCGCAATTTATCAATTAGTAGAACGCAGGTTGTTTGTTTGGCGCGCGCACAGTGACGGTTGACGCCCGTGAGGGGCGGCGGGTTGTGGGGGCAGGCCGATACGTCATGTTTGATACTTACGATGATTAAGTGTCGTCTGCGCTCGCTAGAGACACCGATTACAAACCACAAATAATCGCGTTCAAGGTCATCCGTACAGGTATTAAAAACTGATCGAATTTTATTTCTGTTTTAGTGATGAATTATCCCTGAGTTCTTCAAGCATTCCGGAAGTTAAGGAACGAGATAATTCTGCAACTCGTACAACGATTAAATTACGAAGGCAAAATGCATGCAGGCAAAAAACCAGTCCGAATCTAATACATCAATGCATACATAATCCGAATTTATTGAATCAAATTGAATGTGGGGTGGCAAGTTCGCGGAACGGACAGTCATCGCGACAATTTCAATTTCCATCCGCCGCCACCAACGCGAATCAAATTGTGCGACACGCGAGTGCATCGATGCGCGCCGCAGCGCCTGACGACGGCGAGCAGCGCTGCCGATCCCTGGATCTGCTCGTTGAATCATCACAGGACGTCGCCGGTGGTAATTCAGTCGTGGAGCAGCTTGATACATCGGCAAGCCAACCAGACGGCGTGAGGACCTTCACGGATGGCAGGAGGGAAATTACAACCGTAAGTTTAACTTGATTTACTTACTTACATCACATTAATGGGTATACTTGGTTGCCTATCATAATTCACAACTAACCTATTCTATTCAATTTATATAAAAAATTAAAACTAAGTAAAAGTTTTTTTTATTTTGAATAATAAATTTTTATGAGTAGGAAAACAGTTAATAAACTTGTTTTCACTGTGGAAAGGTAATTAATACATAAAAGCGCATGTTGATTATGCTTAGAATGCATAAATGCGCTTTAATGCATCCCTGTGATGCAAAAAATAGCCGAGGCGAATATTCAAACGAGGAGTTTTCTGAATTTTGCGTCACGCGACACAGCCCAGTGGGTAGTTGTGTATAGTAAGTACACCCCCGCTGGTGGAGGCGCGCACAATCCGATATTAATGTGCGAAGTCGTTCAGCGTGCAGCATTTGCATGGTTCTCGCGATATCGTCGGCCGGCACGGTGCTTACACGTGCTGAATTCGCTTTTCGATTGCGGCGTTTCATTAGTTTCTTTGACGATATGCATCGAGGAATTAAGCTGTTTTTAATTAGCAAGGTTTTAATTAAAAACAAGTAATTTTCGCATCGTTAATGGAATTAATAGTTTTCTGATAGTGTACGAGTATAATCCAGAAAATACTAATTGTATTTTGTTTCTGTTTTATTACGAAGTTATAACCTAAAAAAATTATTTTTTAGTTTTTTTGTTATAACTTTTAAATGAGTAAATTTAGAAATTTGATATTTTGTGAGTTTATTCTTTGATAAATTCTCTTTAAAATGATATTTTGATTGTTTTTGTATGATTTTAATTAATCGAGTTATAAGCTTTCAAAAAACCTCTAAATTTCTAACCTAGAAATGTCTCAATTTTGTTTTATTTTCGGTGTATACAAGCATGAAAATCAAAGACGATTCCAATGCGTGTTCGGTGCCACTGATGGCTTGTAGTTGGGGCGGGCGGCTATGATGGAAAAGCGATCCGTATCGCTTTCCACCGCCGCACACGCCGGGGCTATTCCTGGCTATCGCGACGCGTGCATCCCCATCGCTTCGACGGCGAATGCGCGCCGCCAGCAACCATAGCCCGCCACCATCACCGCCGCCGTTAGTCTATGCGTGATCGTCCCGCCGCCACGACGTTTCACGTCCCTTCTCTCAACACGCGCGCGCGCGATTTACGCCAAAAATCAAAAATCAAAGTGAAATCAAAATAAAGTGAATGAATTTTAAACAATTCAGAAATATTTTCATACACAACGAATTACAATTCAAATAAATGAATGAATATTAATTATAAAGTTAGTGCGTTTGGTGTGAGAAGTGTATAGGATTAAAGGACGATTAATCCTCTTTATCGAGACGAATGGAAAGCGAAATATTCACTGGTAGAGTTGCACTTAACTTCGAGACAATAAAACAAAATTGAAAAGTTAATTGTTTGCCCACAAACATTGCAGGCGTTGAACGTAAAATGTGTACCGAAATTAGTAACGCAGCCACCCCCGGCGGGGCGGCGAGGGGCATTTATGCAAATTGATGTTTGTTCATCGCGCTGTTGATGGTCGAGCGGCAATCGTGTTACTTAGCAACAATGCGTTTCGAATAAATAAAAAAAAACACCGGTTATTAATACATTTCTTTGAATTTTTCTATGTATTTACACATGTCGCATAAATCTTTCACTATTTTCTTTTGCTTTCACGCTGCGAGCGTGAAAACACAAAGCTTTTAGCACAATCGCCGAATTTGTCGCGTTTGCGCGCACTTGAAACATTTTTTTCCTTTTAACGCTAGATGGCACTAACAGCGTTTGAAAATGGCGCGCGAGTGGCAATATCGCCTACTTGATACGCTTGAATATTCATGATTCAGCGCAATAACTCGTACGCGAAGACAAATAGGAATTTAATTTCCAGCGATCGAGGTTCACCTGGATATGAGACACTGTGCAAAGTGCCAAAACACGTATTTCCTCTTATGTCCTTGAGGAATGCATGAGCATTCAGTGGAAAACACTGAATTTACACTGACGTCATCCTGACACCTCACAAGTCATAGAATAACGCCATCTAGTTGTATGAGTATGCATCTAGAAAATTAATTTTGTAACATAGCATAACAGTCCGATTGTTGCGAATCACTGGATTATTACTCGTTATAACTGGAGTTTCGGGTGCGAAGTTTGGAGGCGTCAGAGTTGTGATAAGACACGAAGTTAGTTAAGGGGTTAGAAGTTACAATGTCAGTGCAACTCAATCAATTCAATCAACTATTTCAATTTTGTCAAGTTATGGCAATGAAAATGAAAATAAATAATGTGGAGTTGCAGTATGTTGGTACGTAATTAAATCCGGCAACTAATGTTGGAACTTTGTGTCGTTTACGAGTAGTAAATATGGAGGAAAACTTTTAATGAGTGCGCAAAACGGACAGTTTCAGTTCAATATTACCAAATAGTACAGGAAAAGATATTTTTTGCTGAGGAATTGAATTTTTTGCATGTTTTGTTGGTTAAATGATGAATAACTCAAAAACGGTAAAAGATATTTTTATATTTTTTTCACAGAATTATTAAGAATTAAATTCTTTATGTTTTTGTTTTTATATTTTTGCAAAATTCAAGTTTTTCTAAAAGTTATTAACATTTTAAAAAATAACATAATTTTTTTTATAAACTTGGTTTTCTTTTGCTTATATCTTTTTTGTTTTTAACAAAAGTAATAATGTTTTTGCTCAAAAAGATGGGGAATTTAACCCTTTATCAATTCATGAAGAAATAATTCATTTATCTTATCAATTTTTCGAGTTATTCATTAATTACTACAAAAAAACACTGACAATTTCCGTTAAATATTACAAAAATCCGAAAAATTTTGTTTTTACTAAAGAATTGAAGTTAATTCCCTATAGTTCTCTATGACAATAGAAAATCAAGCACGTAAATATTTCCCATTTCCAATTCTCCTTCTGAAAACGAAGTTTTATTTGCATTCTCCGCCGTCCACTGCATCACACACACACACAAACTCGCCAATTATTGCCGTTTTATTGCCTGGCAACTACAACTACAAACAAATGCCTGCCGCTCGACGCCGCCACCGCCACCCCCTCATCCCTCACGCCGGCCCCGAGGTGCAAAACGCAAAGGATAAGGCAACATCTGCATCCGGTCGAAAGGTTGCGATCGACTGCGTCGTCCCGCCGACGGAAAGTTCACTGCACAGCTAATAAAGCGAGCGCACTGAATACGAACGAACACATCCACGATCTAGAAAAGTTGCAGGCGGAATAAAAGAGACGAGAGAGCGAAATAAAAGAAAACACGGAAAGAAAGAAGTTAATTAAACGCAGCGAATCCTTTTATGCCACCGACTAAGTAATGAATTAACGAGAACGCAAACACGCGCGCACAACAAAACAATACGGAATGGCGAATGAAAGTTTAAGGTTATTTTGACTCGGAGTTGATTTTCAAAGTTATAATTGCAGTTGGAGTACACATTAAACTTATTAGGTTATTTGGTATTTGGGAAATGTGGGAGAGGGAAATGCAATATCAATATATGAGTGTGTGTAATGGGGAAATAAATGCCGGAGTAAACAAACGAGACGGGCAAACAAACAATATCGGTTTATTACACAACACAACAACTAAATTATGTTCCAACACCAAACAACACATTATTTATTTAGAATATGTTTTATGTCGATTAATGTCTTAATATTTAAGTATTGGTTTTTCCTTTGAATTTTGTTCTTTTGGGAAAAAATCGTATTTTTGCTAAAAATTTGTATTTTTGATGAGAAACTCTTTATATTTTTGTAAAAATCAATTTTAACGTTATTGGATTTAACGACAAACTCAGTAAAACGTCGAAATTTGAACAATTTGGTTAGTTTATATTAATTTCCTTTGGGAAACGACAAAAAATATTTTTATTTCAAGCAATTATGAGCTAGAATATTTTTTTTAAAGACATGACATCGATGGTAACATTTGAAATATTGTTGTAATTATGATCCCAACATCCCTACAAATTGCAATGCAAATTTCTATAACTTAAGCACGATTTTTCAGCTAATTTGTTGGGGTGCACGTTGCGTTACAACAAAATTATTTAAACATAACACAAGTGAATACAACTGAGCGACGCGGAATTCCTATTTAGACTTCAGGAAATATTTACCGGAATTTTTCCTATCATAATTGAGGTTATAACCACCACAACAAAAGATTAAAAAGTTGCCTATCTACGTAAAATCTCAATATTTTGTTATTTTTTTGTTTTTCTTTGAAATTTCAAGAAAAAATAGTTTTTCTTTCTTAATTTTATGCTTTACGTCAGTACAATTAGATGGCGTTAGATGAATTCATCCAGAAACATCGTTTATATACATTTTAGATCTCTCCGCACATCCAAGCACAAGAAACAAATAATAACGAAGTTAATTATGCGCCCCAAAACGCTGCATTTGCGTAATCGCGCCGTCCGACCCGTCCGGACTAATGAGATCTCCTTGCGTGCGCCCGCCCTGATCTTGGCGACTGACAAAAAATTAATTGGAATACATTTCAATTCAATTCCATGATTATGATTTACAAGCCAAACAACAAATTTACATTTTATGCAGATTGTATTTCTGCAGAGTGCGATTGGCTGGTACAGCAACAATTGCGTAACTCTTTCGTAGTTAAAGTAAAGAAAATTATTATCTGGGTCGATTTTTGCGCAATGCACTAATACTAATACTGTAAGACGTATGATGGTATTACGTTTTATTACATTTTATTACATTGTAATCTCCGATCGGATTGAATGGTCATCGGGGGCAGAGTGTAACGAGGTCGATAAAAGCGCACTCGCTCATCGGTCGCCATCAACGCCGCCGCAGACGATAACCACCCCCACGGGGTTTTATCACCTCTGCGGCGTCTTATGTACTGATCTATCAATAGAATGTACTATCAGTGCATGAAATAAACTCTAAATCATCAGGGATA